GGCTCGCTCCGCCGTGTGGACACAGGTGGAAGGCGGTAGGCCATCGATCTCGTGCCTTGCTGCCATTTAGTCACTGACTTCAACGGCATTTGCGGGGTTAGTAAGCCGGCAAGTTTAGTGACTGGCCGCGATTAAAGGGAAGCTCCAGGTAAATAGAAACATGCAGACTTATCTTTCAGGCGTCAAGTAGGTAGGCCAAAATACCATTCTTCCCTTGAACAGGCTGGAGAAAACATTTTTTGCTGACTAGTACATTTTCCAAATTTAGTAAGCTACAGCCTAATGATTTAAAGCAGTGATTTACAGTCAGTTTTTTTTAAATGTAATAAAAATTAGCGTGACCCGTCGTCTCAGTTGAAATATTTTTTTCTCATTAAACGCACGATCTCATCTTCCCCTAGATCCTCAACGAAAGAGACAAATTTCAGAATGAATTGGCTCGTGTTCTTCAACAGAAAGAGAAGCTCGAAAGTCTTTGTCGCGAACTCCAGAAACAGAATCATCAAATAAAGGTCAGATTACATTTTACATACAAATTTAGACTTCTGCATGAAGACAATGTCAAAAATTTTTGCTATTACATAGGGCTCCAAATTAGTCTTTATGTATTCTGCTCGAAGATTTCCGCGGCTGTCCTCTTAGTATCATGTTCATATGTGCCCTAGAGCTTTTATACACCCTTTAGGGTCAAGTCTAGTGATAGGCTTCAATCCCGAGTAGTGATCCCCTTTAAAACCCTAGTAAACACAGAGAAAATGAAAGATCCACTTCTAGCCTCTTTTCAAATCTTTGCCTACATTTCCGGTACCTCGATAGCCTGCACCTGTTGGCAGAATGTTTAGTTCTTGTTTAATGCTTCTCTGCACAGGAAGAGAGTATGCAAATGGCCGAGTCGGAAGATAAGCAGCGGAAAGCTGTAGCCGATCGCTTCCAAGCCAGCATCGTCGACATTCAAAAACAACTTGGCGAGTACTTAAACAAGAACAAGGAGCTACGTGAAGAGAACCAACAGCTGGCTGAAAGATTGCAGAATTTCATCAAGGACCATGAAAGCCGAGAAGGGCACGTTCAGAAGGTAGGAAATTCCCTTGCTGTGAATTTCGTGGTCCCATTAAAAAATTCAAAAGATAAATTGATGAGTAAATGGTTGTTTTCGATAAATTTCCTTCAGGCCTAGACACCCATATTGCAATCAACTAATTAAAATATACGGGTTGATGGAAAGAAATCCTGCGGTTATCCAGGTCAGGGGGGGGGGCAGACAAAGTTGGGGGCATGATATGTTCGCGGTTGCGTCTGAAGTAACTAACATTTCAGCTCTAATGCGTAGCGACAATCAGACGCACCACTCCTACTTGCATCTATATATTCACCTGCTACTGTAGCGGGAAATATATTGGTCACACGAGCCGGCATTTTTCCAAAGGAATACGAGAACATTTCACAGCTTGGTTAAAGAAGGACCAAATAAAGAACATCAAAAGTGGCGTTCTAGCGCAAATTGTAGACTCAGACCATCGCGTGGATGCCAGACAGGCTTTCCTAGTGCTCTACAAGGTGCCCTCAAGCTATTCAAAATACCTTGGAGGGCGTCTGTTGGCTACGGCGGAAGCCACTGCCACCAGGTTATGCAAACCGGTCCTGTGCGCCCCAAAAATGTCGTAAAGACGTCTCAGTTACCGTGGCCAAAATTCACCAATTCAACCAGCCGCAGCTTATTACCGTTCCTGGCGCACAGTTCCTCCTGGCACTGATCAGATTACTAAGACCAATTGTGCCTCCCCCCCCCTCGACCGCACAATTTTTCTACCAACATTTTATTCAGTTACCTACTATTGGTTGATTGCTTGCCTCAAATTATTCCTGCTGAACTATCGAGCCACCCCAAACCCTAACACTCCAAACTTTATCTCACCTGCGTCGCCAAATTGTAGCCAAAGTCGAGATGTCCCCGCCTAATTACGCCTTTGTTTGAGTTCCAAGGAAGAACACGACAAGAAAAGTGCAAAAGCAGAAGTCCTTTAGCATAAGTAACAAACGCGTATAGAGCTATGTCCATCGGGCCAATCAGATACTGTTCTGGTGCGTGTAGTGATGCGCTTGGCTTGCGACTCAACGGCTGACTTGTCAGAGCGCTAGCGAGGCCGCAGCTTTAAATTTCAAATTATTGATTAATTGCCAGTCTGCGTTCGCCGCGTGTAGGCCGATTGATAGCCTGCCGTGAGCGCGGCTCGCTGCCTGCTTGCTGGCTGCGTGCTAGCTGGCTGCTCCTAACACTTACAACATAAACGTACAGGCCTAAATAGAATTTCTCGAAAGCAAACGTAGCCTCGCCAAATTACCCAATGCTTCTGCCGCGCGCATTTAAATTCACGAAATATACACAAATTCAGTTCAGTTCAGTTTTATTAGGGAAATATAGGTAAATACCTTTGAA